CAGAGATCCAGCTGCCAACTACCGGGGCTTCTAACAAGACAGGAAATTGGTACTCTGCAACTACCGGGGCTTCTAACAAGACAGGAAATTAGTACTCTGTAGATCATAACTGTGTTAAGTTACTGAACAGCATGCCTTTAGCTACTACATGGCACATAAGTTCAATTTTTTCCCCTAGTCTTCAACATTTTTTCACTAGTCAGCTTGGTTCATAGCACTGCCTCTCACCCAATATGACACTCAGAACTAGCTAAACTGGGGATTCTGAAAACGTAGGGTAAGAAGGAGAAAACTTTGGTGTTGTGCCTGGTGAGGAAAAATTGACTGTGGAAAATTTCACTGTGGAAATGGTCCCTATATGAACACCTGAACTGGGCTGGGAGGGGTTCTACAGATACAATCCTCCAACTTTGGTCAAAACTCCATGTATATCATATTGCCGTGTGGTCTAAGCAACTACCACCCATGTTCCAAATTCACAACAAAGCCTCTGCTTCCTGCATGCCTTCAGCCAGTCACTGTCTTTCCAGCTCCTTGTGAGCAGGAAGGTACTTTTAAAATCACTCTACTCCTCTGTGTCAAGGAACATAAGGGAGTCATGCCTGGGGCTAATTACCAAGATTGGCAAATTGGCATTGTCTAAACTAAAGCATAGACCTTGATGTGGATTTCTGGAACATTCATGCTTCTCTTGAAATCGTTAGGGGCTTTTGGCTCATAAAGAATGCAGTTCTTTAATCATAAAGAGTTCTGTCTGTTTCTGAAGTGTCATCATTAAGTATCTTCAGTTCTGATGCTGGAGAGAGATGAATAGTATTCACATCTTTTTTATGAATCTTGAGTGGAATGTTCATTTAGAGAAAAGTAGTTTCATGTGGATGGCCTTTAAAGAGCTAGCAGAAGAAGCACAGCATCAGGTTTTGTCTGAATCTCATCATCACATTCATCTTACTAGGTGATGAAAATCCCTGTGCATTTAGTACATTCATTGGTTCTCTCTCTGTTGGTCACTGAATACACCATTGCTCTTCAACAAATAATAATATTTAGAATTTATATGGTGCTTTTGAGTGCTAAGGTATTTTTTGGACATTATTCTAGTAATTCTGGCAATACTTTGGACAATAATTTGGAAAAAAAATTTAGTCCCTTATTGCAGATTTGGGCTGTCATGCAAACGCAGTTGTAAAATATGTTTTTTAAAAACCTGAATATCAAAAAAAGTTTAGGAAGCATTGTGTGTGGCATGTTTAGTAATTTTAATGGCATTAGAAGGTCTTTAATTGTACTTGAGAGGAAAAATTATGCGAGAGAACAATATTTCTTCAATTTCTCATTCATGGTGTGAGCGGCAGCACTTTAATGAAAAATAAGTGTTGTTGTGCATGTGTTTTATTAAATGTTTCTGTGGGCTGGAGAACAGTCCTACCACTGTGAAGCTGACCTAAGCATGAAGCTAGAGACTGGGGATGGGCACTTTCTGTAGCCCCTGTGGGACAATATGAGGTAGATAGCTGGTTTTTTACCAAGATTTAGATCCAGGGCAGCTGGCCCTCGCTCCCGCTGGGAGAAGCGAAGAAGGAGCTTGTAAAGTACACAGACCGGATAGAAATGACCCCTACTGACAGAAACCAGCTGCATGTCAACCTTCTCATTGCGTCTCTTGATTTCCAATCTCAAATAAATATATATGGTTGAAGGCTCTGTGGAAAGAAAACAGAATAATGTATTCTTCTCAGAGTCCAAAATCGTGACTTTTTCTGTTTTGGGGGAGGGGGAGGATTTTCCCCCACACACACATTAAGGTCTATTTTATCCCTGACACTTTGTGGAGAGGGGAGGAGACTAAGGAGGCATGAAAATTGTGCCATTTATGATGGCAGATGCTGTAGTTCATCATCAAAGCAGGATCATTTGGACAAACACTGCGTGGGCACATTTACAGACTAATAGTCACCATTTATAAAATTTCTGTGGGAGTTTTCTATTTGGAGTGAATAAACAGCCTTATAACATGTTATTGGCCTTCTACCAAAATAATGTAGATTTCCAACCCATTTCATTCAGCAGATTCCATTTTGAAGGAGGGGAAAAAATGACTTAGATTTGGCATATTGTCCTCTACTGAGCCTTAACATATTTTTGAAGAATGTTCGTTATGTTGCATGTTTGGACCAACTAATAGTTAAGTCAGAGTATGGATTCTTGTGAAAGAATTAGAAACATTGAAGGGGTCTTCCATTTTTGTAACCACATGGAAAACAGAGAGTGAGGCTGGAGGAATGGGTGAGTGATGGAAGTAAGGGTAAATCACAGTTTCTTGATAACTTCCTTGTTTCATTTTTTTAGATAGCTTTGGTGCTTTTTTCCCTTTCAGGGTGTTAAATTGTGGCAACCCAATATATTGACCCAGACAATTCAGAAAAAAGCATTCAATTCTTTTGTTTCGAGCAAGCAGTCGATGGCTCAGAGGGTTTCTGAACCACAGTTGATCTGGTGCATTTCATAATACAAACTGGATTCCTGGAGCCGGCCAGGAAGAGGGATATTTCAAAATGTGGTGCAACACAGCAAGTCAGTTCCCCTGACTTAAATGGACATTGGCTGACCTAGCTCATTTTTAGGTCAGCCAGAAGTAACTCCATTCCAATCAGGTCACCACAATATAGTGTGAAAAAAAAGATCATCAGATAGGAATAATGTGTTCAGGCAGATGACATTTGCAGGAGGAAGATATGCGCTTAACACCATGCACTGCCAAAATCATGGTTTGAGACTCGTTTGTGCTGCATTCCTGCATTACACATTCTTAAAAAAAATGTGGATTACCAAAAAGATGAGAAGATTGAGGGGTTGTCGTATAACTGAGGGGAAGCCACACGACATTGTTGAATGGGAGATGTTTTATATTTGGTTTTATATTTGGTTGCACCAATATTTGGTTGCACCAGCAAAGCTTTTGTGGCTCTCTAAACTTAAGCCTCACTTTCTCTAGAGTGTTCCTGCCACATGGTTTCTCTTCACTGTGCTTATTTGTACAAGCAATTTCCCATTGTAAGCCCTTGGAACAGAAACATCAAACAATATTCTGTGGAACACTGTGTAATAGTTAGAATATTTATTAGCCTCTGTTCTCCCCAGATTATATAAACTGAACACTTATCAAATTAAGTAGTTTACAACAATTAAAAGGCAACCAAACTATAATACAAAAAATGCAATTATATGAACAACAGACTATCCAACTTGGTCTTAAATCCAATGAGCCATCTGCCCAAGGCCAAAAGCTCTTCAACTCAATGCCTTTTGGCTCACCCCTCTGACCGCATCCAATCTTTATACCTACAGGTAGGAAACAAAAAGAGCAAGTGAGAGCCTTCCCTAACATGGTGCAGCTGGCAGTAGTGTTCCTCCTAATTTGCACTCCCTAATTGGGTTGCAGATCCCCTTGCCATTGTGGTGGAGGGATTTGGAGGGCATTTCGGGGGACATTGTCGGGTGACATCCTGATGCAATGATGTCATCAGAAGTGATGTCATCGTATTGGCACCATCGTGTATGATGCTCTAGCTTTTGGGCAAAAACTATGGTTTTTTGGGTTTGAAAGAGTGTGCCCAAAAACCAGAGTGTTGCATGCAGTGTTGCTGACATGACGACATCACTTCCAGGTAATGTCATCACGTTGGGGACGTCACCCGACAACATCCCTATTTGGGGGTGGGGTTCCCCCACCAGCCAGCTGGCCAGCAGTGGATCATAGTCCCCAAAATCAGGGGAACCGCTGCTGGGACCTGGCAACCCTATCCCTAATATTTGTAGCTAAGCAGCAGCAACTATAATTGGAAAGTAGTTCAGGAAAGATTCCTTCTTTCTCAGAAGTTTCCAACAAGAGCTTGAAAATGCTTCTCTGCCATAAGTGATTGTGTGGCAAACAATTTATCATTGGTGGGCAGAGGAGAGAGGTAGAGGCCATAAGAAACAGAGAAACAATGTACAGGTATTTTATTGCCTTCCTTAAGGTAGGGAAGAGAGAATGTGTGGCTATGACAAAAATGTAGCGGTAAATTTGGGTTTTGAGGAGGGATTGACACTGATTTTTATGCCACTTTTCCCCCAGTGAGGACCCAAAGCAGTTTGCATCACTCTCCCCTCATCTATTTTATCCTCACCACATTTCTATGAGGTAGGTTAGGCTGTGAGGTAGTGACTGGGCCAGGGTTGCTCAGTGAGGTTCCATGGCAAAGTAGGGATTCAAACCTGCTATATGACATCACTTCCTGGTATCTGCTGAAAGAGAGGATGTGCTGTTGGTGTAATGTTGCTTTTTTAACACTCCTCCCCACTGACTCTTGGCAGACCAGCAGGCAACAGAGAAGGATGCTGGGAAGTCTTCTGCTGAAGCAGGAGATCATGTCTCCCTAGTTGAAAGGTGAACAACTATATATTTATATTGGAAAATTTCTGCCTTTTCAAGGAACCATCCCAAGATGGCTTTCAAAATAAAGCATAATAAAAATATAAAACACTATAAATTTTATTTCAAACCCAGCATTCAAAACCTAGCTGGAACATAAAAACATAAAACACTGAGCAGCTTAAAATTAGTCTCACACCATTCTGAAGCTCAAAGCAGACAATTAAATGATGTTAAAATGATGTTAAAATCCTGGGTAAAAAGAAATGTTTTTGGCAAACCTCAAGGGGAACAGCATTCCACAGGCAAGGTCCTGTTGCTGAAAATGCGAGAGGGAGAGAGAGCAGGGCTTGTGGGGAAGATCTTAGCTGACAGGCTGGACAGTATGGAGGAGGTACTCCTGCAGGTATCCCTGCCCCAAGCAGTACTTTGAATTGTGCCCAGAAAGAGAGGGGAAAGTCTTAACTGTGGCTCAATAATATCCCACATTTTGGGTCAATTAACAAAACAGATAACTTTTGCCTCAAATGCTTAAAGATCCCCTCCAATATATTTATTGTAAATGCTCTCTTTCATTTTGTTCCAGAGGCTGAAGGCAGCATTGACTCACCATCCTGCAGGCATGTCAAATGGAAATATGAACACTATGGGTCACATGATGGAAATGATGAGCTCCCGACAGGACCAGACAACCCACCATCATATGCACTCACATCCGCATCAGCACCAGTCGCTTCCACCTCATCATCCCTATCCTCACCAGCATCAACACCCGACACACCATTCTCATCCTCAAACTCATCACCAGCAGAACCACCCGCATCACCACTCGCATTCACACCTTCACGCACACCCGGCGCATCACCAGACCTCGCCACATCCGCCACTGCATACGGGCAGTCAAGCACAGGTAGAACTCCTTTTCAGAGTCTATTTTCTGACGATACTGGTTGAAAAGCAGGAACTTAGTTTGTCTTTTATGTGTGCTTGTGTTTCATAGCTCTCAAGTCTGTTGTGGGCCCATAGATGTTGCCACTGAGACTTCAAACATTAAATTGCTATATATATTGGAGTGCTTTTGACCATCAAAGAACTTTGAATAACATTTTCTGGTTAAATAATTATGAGGTCCATGACAATGCAACCCTGAAGCAGAGTTACACCCTTCTAAGCCCATTGTTTCGGATTGCACTGTGTTTGTTGTTTCGTGGCTCTACAATCGGTGTAGCCAATGGCTGTCAGAGGGGTTTTCTACAGCAAACACATGTAAATGTGGACAGTATAGCCGTATCTTTAAACTAATATGCTTCCACATGACCCAGAGAGAAGAAGGCAAAACATCTGTCTTGTGATTAAGATCTACAGTGGTTACTCATCAACGTACACACCTCAGTCCCATGTCTTAGTGTAGGAATGGACCATTTGGTCTGAGATATTGAAGACACAGTATTTCTGCCTTTCTCCCAGGCTGATCTCACATTGCCTCTAAGTCCAGGGCTGTTTTAATAGCTGTTCTTTGTTCCTCTTACAATATATTTGGTAGTATACTAAAGAACATTTGGACAAGTCACTGCCATCTTTGATCTGATTTGCTTTGGGTAGGTGAGGATGCAGGCAGGCATCCAGGGACTCCTTGTTTCCTGTAGGTAAACTCCTTTCACATTCCAACTGTTGCCTTGGTCTACTCACCAATATACTATTTATTTATTTAAAATACTTATATCTCACTTTCTCCCATTTACCTACATTGGTCTTCTAAGCTGTGACCTATTTAATCAAGCAGTCTCATTTAATCTATTTAATCAAGCAATCGAATTAACAGACACAAACCCATCACCAACTGAGCTATTCCTATAGCTTTGTGTTCCAGAGTGGGCAAAAATTCCCTATCTGCAGCCAAAACAAATTCCAAATCAATCCCTATAGCCACTGGTTAGTCCCACACCACCACAGGAAGCGGGAGGCACCAAGATGCCCAGAACTCAATCTGGAAATGAATCCATACACAGAACCTAATTGCCACTTTCAAATTACTTCTTCTAGACTGCAGCTACCTAGCTAGCTATTGGGGAATGCATTTAGGGTTACAAGCCTGGGGAAAATAGGTGCTTTCTCTTGATTGTCCATTTAGGTACAGTTGCTACGCACTTGAAGGTTAGTACACCTTTGGTCTAAAAAGATGATTTAGGATTCACACACATTCATGAAATTAGAGGTACCAGAGGTTTGTAAGACTTCCTTACTTCAATATAGACCCATTGGCTTTCATAGAATTACTTCATTTCCATATTGGTCATGTAAAAGAGATATTTGCTCAAAAATATTGTGCAGCGCTGCTTGGAGGATAAATGGAAATCTTAAGATCTATATGTCAGGTAGTTCCCTGGACAACAGAACAGCTTAAATTCCTCATGGGAACACAATAGCAGTGACACTTTTTGAAGAGGGCATTGACTGGGATAAAAGATGGGTTGAGTGAGTAATAAACATAAGGTTATTACTTTCCAAACCCATCTATAATTCCCCTTAGTTCTGGCCTCTTTGGGGGTCAGACTGCTTCAGCAGACACATTAATCTTATGGTACACTTTACTAATTATTAACCAACTCTTTCTATTGAACTAAATACTTCAATTTCAAGGTTCACGTCAAAACCAAAGCATGATCTGAATCGCTAGGAGCGATGTTCTCCCTTTTGCCATATTTTTGATTATTTTATGCCATGCCCTTGCATTAAATTTCAAACTTTTCAACAGCCATGCAGCGCTTAACGAATTATGGGTTGCTAAAATGAATGAGTACAAATAGAGCACTAGGTTATAAAGAACAGAAGAACGTATTGGATCAGGGATCAAGGCAACAACCCGTCCATTTAATATGACCTTTTTCTGTGATAGATGCTTTGCTTTGTGTCGGCTGGCTGGAGTCAGATATTACACACACATTTTCCAAGTACTAGATTGTTTTGACTACTGAAGTTTAATTAAGATGAATTCCCAGTCAGGAGAACTTTGGCACACAAGTAGGTTGTCGATATTTTGCATGACTATGTGCAGATTGTGTGTTTGTGTTAATTATGGGGATTTGGTGATCTTATCCTTGCCAACATTTTTTTACATTAGCACCATCTACAATACATATGGATAATCTCAGTTTCGCCAACATTCTGTTTTAAAAATAGAACTGTTCCTCTAGCGGTTATCTGCACCATTGCACCTACAAATGTATGTAGCATCATGCAGTGGCTATCTGGTCATGTCTACATACTTTCCTTACAAGCCCATACAAAGCCTGGGCTGCTGGTCCACAGATTGCGATGTAGGGTAAGATGCAAGAGCCAAGGGTGTCATAAACTTAGAGTTGGAACAGACTGGGGAGGGAAGGTGAGATGGCAACTAACTGATATCAGAGCCACAGCCCTTTTTCCTTATCTCATCCAAGAATCTGCAAGCACCAGAAGAAGGATTAGCCAGTGGGTAGGCAGAAAAGGCTGACAAGCTGAAAAGAATACAATTTCACATAGCACATTAGCTCTGATTGACAAGGACCTTCACACAGCAGAATAGCAGAGAAGCACTGAAAGTAAAGCAAAGCCTGTAAGATTGTTAGGGCTGGGAGCAGCCTTTAACACGAAATATTACTAATGATAATACATCCCATTTCATTGTGGGACTTGTAACCACAGATAGAGAAACTGTTCCAAAAATAGCTTGGAGAAGCTGAGTTCAAGAGGACTCAATAGTCTTGAGACTGCAATGTCCCCAGAAGGATTATTTGGTTTGATACCCTATCTGACTTCATTTGCATCATGCCATTAGTCCAGAGAGCTTCCAATAGCATATATGGAGCTCTCCCACCCAGCCTGGACCTGCCAAACTTCAGAGAAAGGATGTTGTCAAGAACTTTCTCATCATAGAACTGTCTGTAGCTTTCAAATTAATATCAAAAAGGTTAGTTGCAAACCAAGTAGAGGGGCAATTACGACAAATAATATGTATAACCTGAGTAACATCAAAATACATATATTTATTGTCAAAGGATTAAAAACATTTATGGGCCCGACTGTAGCCTTATTACAGAATAAAAATACAATATACACAAATGGGAACTATTGTACCCAGGCATGTTTTGGCCATAATACACCTTCCTCAGTGGTCAAGCAATATTAGTACATATAGGCTCATAATACAATATAAAACAGTTTACAAGTTGATGCAGGACCGAAAAAGGAGTTTTATAATAAAGATCAATTTACAAAAGGCATGAGAAAGTTTATGAGGCCTTCTAGAGTCTAGCCTTGTGCCATAGTCAGATGCATACGTGCTGGAAATATGTTGCTATGGTATGCCTTCTGATTTTGGTCCAGAAAATACAAATACCAACCAATGCTCCCTCTAAGCTGTAGAGTCTTGTGAGCAAAAATTCTACTTTGTGAGCTACTGGCATTAAAATTGTGAGCGAGCGATTTGGCTACTGCCTAAAATAATTTGCTCTGGAACCATCCTTCCTGAACTAAGACAAAAATCTGTGAGCTGGAGGCTAAAAAACTGTGAGTTAGGTCACCCTAACTCAGAGGAAACACTAATACCAACAACTGTACACTATTTATGGTACATGGGCTCTGATCAGTTGTTAGTCTCAAAACCGGAAAGCATACAATAGCAACATTTTTCCAGCATGTATTTACTAATGTACTAATATTTCTTGATCACTGAGGAAGGCCTATTAGGGCCGAAACGCATTAGGGTACAATAGTTCCCACTTGTGTATATTGTATTTTTATCCTGTAATGAGGCTACAGTTGGGCCCATAAATGTTTTATATCCTTTGACAATAAATACATGTATTTTTTATATTACTCGGGTTATACATATTGCTTTTAGTAATTTGCCCTCTACTTGGTTTGTAACTAACCTTTTTTGGTTCTTGATTCAATTTTTTTGAATCCCCTTTGTTTCTTTTGCTTTCAAATTAATATCCTGGCAGCCACTACTTGTTCCTTATTGGGGGGGGAAATCACTATTACTTTAAGGCAAAGAATCTTAAAGGGTGTAAAGGATTCTTCTATAAATATAAAAGAGCAGATCTGAGAAGCAGAGCTTTAAAATCAGTATTTATACACTGAATAAAGATGGAGAAAGTCTGCATTAAGGAAAAATTTGGGTATCCAAAAATGATTCAGAAGGTGTTGCGTATGGTCTTTGATGTTACGTCGACAGTTTAAAAGAGACCTTTGAGGTTTTTACATTTCAGGTGTGTCACTTTGGAACTGAAGACCTATGCCTGTTATAGAGGGCACCTGGCATTGCTCAAAGTACCCTTCTCATGCCAAATAGACGCTGTCAGCTAGTTCTCACAATACTGGTAGCAGTCTGAAATGTGGAGTTGATTACATGCAGCCAGAGTTTGGACATGTAATGAAGTGACCATATACTAGTTTTAGTTTCTTAGAGCAAGCAGTCATTTCACAGGTCCTTTCTTTCCTCACTCAGTGAGGAAAGCTAGCATTTAATTTTACCAAGCTTGCTACCAATTGGAAACCAATCAACAATTGGAAGCTTTTATGGTGCCCCAATAAAATATCAGTTCTAGGTATATAGCAAAGCAAAGATGTACTTGGGTGATTCAAATTTTCTGATCCTCCTCAGAGAATAGCCCTGCATGGCACTGTACTTCATTAGAAGGTATCAGGAGGACATGTTCTCAGCCCACAGTTTGCGACAAATTCATGGTCATTAAATCAGCCAACAGTTGTCCCAAGATTACAAAGACAAGACAACCTTTTGTTTCCCATTATCAGCCTTTAACTCACTCAGTCTTAGATTAATTCCTTACCAACACTTAATAAAAATGATTGGCTTGCTATCTTAGGGTGGCTTTGCATATAAACAAAGCCTATGTACAGTGTGAAGGGGGGGGGGAACATGTCTTGACATTATGAACAAAATGAAAAGTCCCAAGACTCCTTCTGTTCTGTGAGGAATACAAGTCACTGGAAAGATCTAGACTTTTCACACTTGAATCAAATGCTTTCTTTACTGCTGTTGAAATGAAATGAAACATTTTTAATAAGATGGAGCAGAAAATATTTTTTCCTGCCTGCTGCAATTCAAAAAGGTTATTTCAAAACATCCTCTTGGTCCAGGCAGGCTGGTTGTCAAAGAGTAATTTAAGGGGATCTGGTGAAGCCTTTGAACTTGCGCCATTCTCATATCTTGCCAAAATGTCTGCATTCAAAGAATATAGGCTGGTTGTTTTTTTTGTTTTTAATTTCCTTTCATTATTTAACTGTTAGCAACAGTGTCATCCTCCCTCACTGGTAACTTAACTGATTTCAGTTATTGTTCTTATTAGGTATCAGCAGCAGCCCAGCAAATGCAGCCCACTCAAACAATACAGCCACCTCAGCCCACTGGGGGGCGCCGGAGGAGAGTGGTGGACGAAGATCCAGACGAGAGGAGGCGGAAATTTTTGGAGCGAAACCGTGCAGCTGCCACACGTTGCAGACAGAAGAGGAAGGTCTGGGTGATGTCACTGGAAAAGAAAGCAGAAGAACTCACCCAGACAAACATGCAACTTCAGGTGCGGGATACTGTCTACATGCCTAGGACACAGAGGCACTGTTTGCATCGTGGGCAATTGCTGTGCTACCAAGATGTTCTTGACCTAAACCGGGGGTGCTACCCATGAGACTATTAATACAACAATCTTAATTTTTTATATTTAGGAATAAAATGTTGCATTTGGCAAATATTAAACAAGATGAGTGTCGATGTTCACAAGCTGACCTTTTCTTTTCTTTTTCTTTTTTTGTATTGCCAATCCTTTTGATAGCTCTTACACAGAATTTTTCAGTAAATAGTAGGCAGTGATGTCTGCCAGTGGGTTGGGTGCTGTGATGCATGAGCAGAAACCTGAGCTCACTTAGCACAATTCTACTTATGCAAGCAATAGCGCTAAAAATATTGCCAGATCTATTGGAAGAACCAGATTATTATTATGTGCACAATATCTTGTGCAAGCAGAAACGCAAGTTGGGATACGATAGCTTAGCTCAAGATGACAGTGTGGTCTTCTGTATATTTCTGCCTGTGCAAGGGGGGGACACAAGAAATCTTCCTCTGGATCCAACCCTGTTAGTAGTAGAAGCAGGATATTATAGGACAAATCACACGCACTGCTAAGAGCCAAAAGGGGCACTCTGTAACTCACGTTCTTCTCCATTCTGAATTCAGGACTGTGGCCTAAATAAGCCAAAATATATTCTGATCAGGATGAAACCTCTCCTACTGTGGAGTATGACACCTAAACACTAGGTCTTAATTCCAATACAGATAGTGTGAGCTGCCTGGCATAATAATTCACTCACAGCACTGAACAGCTGAAGAATATCACGGGCAGAGAGTATCAATTGTTTCTTAAGTGTATCCGTGCCAGGCTGTCAAAGTCCATGGAATGCTACCACATGGAGGAGAAAACTGAATAGGAATGTTATCGCTGGAATACTAGCAACTGCTCAGATAAACAGAGGTACTATCTGTCACTAGAATGAGTGAATTAGCATTTGATTGACATTTGCTTCCCGGGTAATAGTGTATCACAACGAAGAGACTGGAGTGAAGCAACTGGTAAATGGTAGAAATCTTTTCTTGAAGTATTTTAGATTCTCTGCATAGTAGTTTACTCTTCTCAGTGTTGTCAGAATTCAAACGTAGGTGTTCTGTGATACCTGGCTATGTTGGAAGGTGCCTTAACTGTTTCCAAATTCTTATGTTCCGAATACTGCTGTAGTGCCATGCTGACACTAGCCCATTTGTGAAGTCCTCTAACACCACTCCTTCCCACCTTTCAACTGAGGTGGGGGGGTGGGGTTCCCCAACAGCCCTGCAGATGGGGAGGCATGTGCTGGTCCTGACACTTGCGCATAGAGGCTCATCAGCATGAGCAATGACTCTTAAGGGCAGACCAGGCCTTCCCTCACCCTCTTTGTCCCTTGCCCTCTCATCCCAGCATGGCTGAATGGAAGTGCCAGCGCCAGAGCCAGCATCAGCATATCCTGAGATGGGCAGCCGCCAGGGCCAAGGGCTTCTGGTAGGGCCCACTACCAATGCTCCCTCTAAGCTGTGGAGTCTTGTGAGCAAAAATTTGTGAGCTACTGGCATTAAAGTTGTGAGCGAGCCATTTGGCTACTGCATAAATTAGTGTGCTCTGGAGCCATCTGTGAGCTGGAGGCTAAAAAACTGTGAGCTAGGTCACAGTAGCGTAGCTTAGAGGGTACACTGCCCACTACTGCTGGCACCCTCTCCCCACTCACTTGCTAGTGCTCCGGCACTCATGCTTCCTGCTGCACATACTGTCTGGTGCCTCTGGGGGAAAGTCTGCAGGCTCCTGTGAGCATGGCAAATAGGAGTGGCTTGTGAGGAGACAAGAGAAGGACATACAAGATGGACGGAGGCATGCGGGTAGGAGGGCATGACTGCTTGGTGGTGGGCAGAGGAGGGGGGCCTACGGATTCTCTGCCATAGGCCTCCCAGAACTTGGAACTGGCCTTGGGGAGAGCGGATGCTCAGAGCCATATGGTCACCAGAGCGATAAGTAGTAAGGGGGAAGGTTTCCCAGAAGGATCCCGAGGCTTTCCTCTGGATACCACGGATCTCGATGTTCTGAATGTTACTTTAGTGTTTTACTGGTCCTACACCATTTGTAAGGTTCAGTAATGAGCTGCTTCCTCCTACATTATGCTTCCTCAGATTAAAAATAAATAACACACGAAGCTGCCTTAAGCTGCGTCAGACCCTTGGTCTCTCAAGACCACCACAGTATCATCTACTTTGACTGACAGTGGTTCTCTGGGGTTTCTGATAGAGGTTTTTCACAACAGATAGTAACCTGTTAACTAGAGATGCTGGGAATTGAATCTGGGATCTGCATGTGTGTCACAGTAGAGCCAGGGAGTCAGGCTGGGAGGGTGGGTCACAAGACAAGTCCGAGGGTCAGCCAGGAGAGCAGTCAGCAGAGCGTTAAACAAGTCCCAAAACACCAGACACAGCCGTAGTCAAATGTTACCAGAGGTCAGAGTCCAGATAGCAAAGCCGAGAGCGTCGTCAGATTCAAAGCTGGGAGTCAGGAGCCAGGGCAGAAGTCCAAAAACACAAGCCGAGTCCAAAAAGCCACAGAGTCAAACAGGAATTGAGGTGCAGAGCTTCTGGTTCTACGAACAAGGTTGCCAGCACAAAGTGCTCATGGCCAGAAGCCCTGCTAAATAGTGCTCTGGCTCATTAACCCATTAGCACCTTTTTGTGAGGTCCTAGCTGCTGTTAAAACTCAGGGCTCAAGGATCTCCGCCCTCTTGAACGTGCTTCTTTTTGTCGGCTAGCCAGATCCTGACGTCTCCTATCCCTAAGCTGGCTTACAGGTGGGGGAAATGCAGGTGGTGAGCTGCTTACGGCCCGATCAATCCCAGGTGCAAACCGTCCTGTAGTTGGCTCAGATTGCCGTGTATCCTCCTCCGTACTTACAGTAGGTGTGGATCCTGATGCTTCTTCAGCTCTTAAAGGCACGGAATCCTCCCCTCTTAGGCTGTCAGGAGCTGGATCTGGGGCTGAGCCAAGGCCCCTTCCCTAGCAGATAATCAATACTGACCAACATCAGAAGAAGAACATTGTAATTGCCACCAAGTTTACCCTCCCTCCTTGAATTTGCACACAGAAGAGTCTAGTATTCACTTTGTACCAAGCTTAGGTATGGTAAGAATTCCTCTCTGCTCTTTGTCCTTACAACGTCTAGTGAGAAGTAAGAGTCTGAACTTCCTTTTCCCATGGTATGTCAGAGAACTTGGGAGAAGGAACAAGAACTCTCTGTCCTACCCAGCATGAAGTGAGACACCCCTCCTGTTCTTTGTTCTCTTGGGGAAAGAAGGAATTTCTTGGGGTGTTCTGGATAGCCAATTCAGGCAATCACTAGAGAGGGGTGATTGCTGGAGACACGTTAACTATGTTTGTGGACCCCTGCAGTGTTCTTTGTATCCATGACTGAAGCTTTAGATGAACTTTTTTATTAGTGGTGGGGGAGGAGGGAGAATGGTTGCATTCTTGAAGCACAGTATTTTATAATCTCAACACTGAACATGAGAAATAGTTTACTAGACAGCTGAGTGAGAAGTTCCCCTGTACAAACATTACAGGAGGAAAAAAATCTTCCCATGGATGGCAATTTAGATATCAGTGTTTTTTCTAAATTTTCTTTCCTTCATTATTCTGCTGACACTTCTACTGTATTACCATGTAATCATTACAGGCTAATGCGCTACTGACCTTTAGGAATAAAAGACTGAACAGCCATAGATTGTTCTTGGTTATAGAGTTCCTTAAACTCCTGAGTTAATGGAGATTAATATAGCAAGCAAAAATATCTCGGTTATCTGGAGAGGATTTGTTTAAATTTAAAAGAGCCTTTTAAAATTAAGGAAACCTGAAAATCTGTTGATTGTTAAATTTACTGAGACAGAGCAGAGCTGGGGTTTGTGAAATGGCATGATTTAATGGCAAACCACCACCACCCCTTTAATGATTCAGGAACAAATAGCTCTCTGTATTCAGAAAACAATGAGAAACAAACATATGCTTCTGCATAAACATTGGTAGTTTATACCAAATTAATATTTTTTCTGTTTCACAAAGTATTTTAATTCCACAGTATGGCATCACAATATGAGTGAATCAGAGCTCAGCTACTTGTAAACATGAACTTTGCCACCTGTAGCATACAATATTATATTTTTGCATGTAAAAATCTAAGGATAGGCAGGTCTGATCCACAACGAGCTTTTCTGAATAATGGCTAGATGTGATCTATGATGCATTGCAAACCTAAATTAGCTTTTAAGATTGTAGGGAAGATATTTGCCAAAGCATTAATTTCTATTAGCCATCATCCTCTGTCTTATTTCCATCTCTGATTAATTTCATCTGACTTTACAAACCTAACCCATAATAATGGAGCCATATATTTTCAGACAAGTGAATGTATTCTTTTTAGCTCTGTTGACTGAGTCTCATTTAGAAACAATATCTGTCTCAGTCACACAGGAGTGTATCCACTGTACACAGGAGTGTATCCACTGAACACAGGCACATGTGGGGAAATCAAAGGATAACCATGTGCATGTTTGAGTACCTCTTCCAAGAGATCACTGGATTACCAGAATTATTTTAAAAATATTAATCTTCCATAATTAGCTTTTTTTTAAAAATGCAGATTGTTAGACACACTACTCTTCATGTTCATGAATTAAATCATGAATATAGAGGCCATGAGGTTTCTAGGTCTTCCCCACTTGCAACAAGCGGTAGTGATAGCTGCTTCTGCCTTGTGGACTGTACCAAATCCAGTACTGGAGAAAAAAGCCCATTTTTTAAAAACTAGTGTAAATATAGAATGTCAGACTGGGCCGACCTGGGTTCAAATCCACACTCTGTTGAGAAGCTCAGTGGCTGACCTTGGGCCAATCACTGGTTCTCAGTCTGATCTGTCTCTTAGGATAAAAAGGCGTGAGGATAAAATGGGTAGAGAAAGAACTATATATGCTGTCCTGAGCTCCTTGCTCATTCTGTGATGATGCTGAGGCTCATGCCTGACCCTAAGCCTTCCTGGTGGTGAGCAGCAGAGCATACGACCAGGTTGCTAATTGGATTGCAAGTAAAGGCCCATGTCCCTGGCTCTTGATGTCTTGTTCTTGGCCAATGCTGATACTAAGAGTGTAATAATCATGGCATATCAGATGCCAAGCTTTTAAAGGTCTATGCCATAAATAGTTTGTCCCATGATCAAGTATTTTTTTTAAATAAAGAATTAGATGAACAATCAACCCTATGCATTGCCGTTGTGTTTATAGCAATGAGAGGAATATGAATTATCATCCTCTTAAGGCTCAGATGTGTTTATTTAAAAGTAAAAGTCTTTCTTTTCTTCTAGAATGAGGTCTCTATGTTGAAAAACGAAGTAGCACAGCTGAAACAGTTGTTGTTAACACATAAAGACTGTCCAATAACAGCCATGCAAAAAGAGTCACAAGGATACCTAAGTAAGTAGCAATTGTGTTGTATTTTCCAGATTACATATGAACATTACTCTTTTTTGTCTGATCTCTCTGAATTCCTCAACAATGACTTCAAAGAATATCTTTGAAAATTATGGAATTTGACAATGGAGAACAAGTTCCTGTGATAAAGCGTACTAGCAACTAGTTCTAGAGATCTGGAGAACAATTTAACATACATAATGCTTGTTTAGTATAGAAACCTAAAAGGATTTGAAATTTCCAGGAGCATCTAGGAAATGTCATCTCTCTTTGCTCTGTTGGACTTGGACTTCAATGGACTTAGAAGTGTATAATTTTGCTGAGCATGGTACTGTACACCTTACTAACAGTGTAGTCCTAACCAGTGTTCCCTCTAAGCTGAGTTAGTGTGAGTTAGCTCACAGCTTTTTAGCCTCCAGCTCACATATTTTTGTCTTAGCTCAGGAAGGATGGCTCCAGAGCAAACTAATTTATGCAGTAGCCAAATTGCTCGCTCACAACATTAATGCCAGTAGCTCACAAAGTAGGATTTTTGCTCACAAGACTCCAAGCTTAGAGGGAACACTGGTCCTAACCAGAGTTGCACCCTTCTAGATCTATTGATCACAGGGCTTCAAAGGGTGTAGCTCTGTTCAGGAGTGCACTGTTAGAGCAGGATTCTACCTGTTTTTCAACTGGGACAAGAGGAAGAATGGGTTATCTTGAGCAATTTGCCTCCTCACTGCTTCCCCATCCATACAGGTTCTATGATTTCAAACATAATTTTTAATGGGCCGAAAGACTCCTCCCTCTTGCAGCAACAGTAAAACTGGGTGGGATCCATTCCTAAGTCACTGTTATTTTGTAGTCACTGTGGGCCTGGTTCTCACATAAATGGTAAATTTATGCCTGGATTGTACCACTTCTGAATACAGGTGTGGAGCTCATACAGTAGAATGCTCCAGCATGCAATAAATAAATAAATAAATAAATAAATAAATAAATCTCCCATTTCTTAAAAAGTATGTCAGGGACAAGGCTGAATGGAAGTCTAGTTTTCTGTGGGCTCAACTAAACATGAGTGAGGGAGAAAGGAATTCATGATTTGTGGGAATTTCTGATTTTTAATAAAAATTAAGCATGCAGGTAAGAGGGTTAAACCCTCCCTTTTCTCTCTCTCATTACCTCAAATGCGCTCCATTGCTTTCAACACTTTTCTTCCAGCCCAGCTCCAATACAGGAAGTGAGCCAGGCTGGAAGAAAAGAGCAGAAAGCAACAGAGCACCAAAGCAAGGTAAGGTGGGTAAGAGTTGTGGTTTATTTCTCCTCACCTGTATAATCTGGGAGGTTTTTTGGCTGAAAATAGCCTCCTCTCCCCGTATCTATTGCTTTAGAACAGGTAGACTTGTGTATAAATATACATGGCTCATCTTCCTTATGCCTCATTAGGTTCTGAATGGAGGGGGGGGGTTAATTGTAAAGGAGAATCTGACCTTCATCTGCAGTCAGAAGTCATATAGTGAGACACAGGGTCATACTGTGTGTGATGCTAGGAGTTCTGTGAATGAGCTGTCACACTTTTTTTAAAAAATCAGGCACACAGAATTCCAATTGAGATAGGTTTACCAGTTGCTCCCCATCCCCCAGCTCTCCCCTACTCTCACAGGAGAAAATGGGAGGATGACATCAGGGATGTGGTGACATCACTTCTGGTTGGTGCATCCATGACACTCAAGAAATTTTCCCATTCTCTATGATCTTTACCATAGAGTTCCCTCAAAGCTCTCAGGATTTCCATGTGCAGACCTGGAATCCTGAGGTTGAGCTCAAGATGGGGTGAGGTTAAGGTTCCTCTCTGCCATTTTTCCAAGCTGCAACATACCTGTAGAGCTGTAGTTTGTCCCATTGGTCCATTCACATTCTGATGATGGCCTGTAGCTGACCACAATAGTAATGATAGGGTGATTTCAGAGACATGGCATGGGAGGAAATTACCACAACCCCCATGTTTTGGTCCGGATATGAATTGGTACCCATTTTTCTGTTTTTTTAAAAAAGAAAAACATCCCATTTGGGAGTTCATTCCTAGAACTTCCAGTATCCTGCATGTTTTGTCCCAATGTTTTCCCACTAGTGTTGCCAACTCCAGGCTGGGAAATTTCTGGAGATTTGGGGGTATAGCCCGGGGGGGGGCAGGATTTGGGGAGGGTAAGCACCTAAGTAGGGTATAATGCCATAACACTGCACCCTGCAAAGCAGCCATTTTCTCTGGTAATTTGAAGATCAGTTGTAATTCCACAAGATCTATAGACCCTATCAGGTGGTTGGCAACCATATTCCCCAGTTCAGTGAGATCTAAGCCATAGTCCTAATTATATACCTAAATATAAAATTTGAATGAAAAAAACTATTGTATGTGGGTATGCTTGATGGGGAGCTAGACTGGCTGTGTGCCCAGTCAAGTGGGCAACGGGAAGCAAATCCAGGACTGTGGCTACAGAATGTCATCTTGCAAAGATTCCTTTCTCAGACTGGCTATGTCCTTGCCCCCTCCCATCAGTGGACTGTCATGCACAAATTCTCTTGCAATGTCCTTGTGGGATTCAGCCTAGGCTAAAATGGATTATGCCATGTTTTGATTAATGGATTGTGTTTCCTTTAGAGACATTCGAGCAAAAGGTTCAATTCCTCTTAGAGGATTCAGATTCTAAATGTACTTATTTTGTTGCTCAATTCCTAGAGGCCACAGAGAAGTGTTGAAGGGAGGTGTTTTCAGACATGGGTCTTATTTAAGCTCTCATGTTTTATTGTTCAAGACCCAGGTCTGAGAACAGGGGAAGAAAGGAAAGGAAAAGGCTCCATAATGTTCCAAAGTAATAGCTTCGGTCCAAGAAGGCCTGGATGATCCAGCCAACTTCTTGAGAGGTCCTCCTACTGCAGGGGAATGTTCTTCTTATGAAATAGCTGAACTGGCTGCATAAGGGCAGGGTGACATGTTCAACAAAACTATTATTTTTATTATTATGCTATAACTAATTCTTCCACCTGTCAGTATTAAGGAAATCTAAGTAACATTGGCTCCACCTTGACAAGAGCAAGAGCCTTTGAGTAAGCAAAAACACAAGAAAGTTGTCACAGATAACATTTGCACCATCAATTTGACTGTAACCTGCCTTGCTTTTAGTGCTTACAAATGAGATAGCACAAGGTTTACATAATAAAGTTATCATCAAATACAAGGCTTTTACAGAAGTTCTTGCTCAATGTTTGCAAGCCAAACTAAGCTGAGTTCCAGAACTAGGCCTTGCTTCTGCTATCACATTGTGGGATCCAGCCTAATATACTCAGTACTCTGCTATGGCAGCTCTGAATTCTTGACACATGCCAAGAAAGAAAATATTTCGCTACATATTTTGCTACATGCAAGTATTGCAGGACTGCTTTATGATTTACTGTATTCATTTCAGGTGGTAAATATGGACATTTTTAGATAAGGGTGAAGCTTTCAGTCATAAGCCAGACTAAGGACTTGGAGGCCGGGGTTCAAATTCCACTTCATGAAGCTTATTTGGCACTCTTGGGCCAGTCATTCTTCCTCCACCTGACTTACATCAGAGGATTGTTGTGCAAATAAAATGAAGAAAGAGCCACCTGTGCTGCTGTGAGCTCCTTGGAGGAAAGGTGGGACAAAATGTACAGGATAGATAACACATAGGTAGCCCTGCATATACCGATACCCATTGTTTTTAAAACCGTCTTGCTAGTTTTAGTACCTAGTTTCTGCATTTCCTGGATATTATGTGTGCCATGAACCATATGAGCTCTTCTGTATTTAAACAGGGAAGAGGGGTTCTACTGACATGGGCATGAGCCTTCGTTTGTCTTCTTTTCCAGGTCCTGAAAGTAGCCCTCCTGCAAGTCCTGTCCCGGCCTGCTCACAGCAACAAGTCATCCAACATAATACCATTACCACTTCCTCTACGGTCAGCGATGTCGTAGGAAGCTCCACCCTCAACCAGCTTGCAAGTCACAGAACAGATATGAATCCAATCCTTTAAAAGCTATCTGTTGGGAACTGCTAGGGGGGGAAAAGTGATAAAATATCCAATTTCCTTTCTGTTAAAGGCATTTACTGTTTGAGCAGTATCCTCAAGTCTGGAAGACACTTCAGCCCTCAAAAGACTCTTGAGTTGCATTTTTATAGTTATTAAAATGTCTTTTATACTTAGTAATAATAAAGGGAGTTATGCAATGATTATGCTATCAGCTTGAGAGATGCTTTGGTGCTTTCTCCAGTTTTCTGGTACCAGTTACTTGCTTTGTTAACCAATCTGTTCCTGTACATAGTCATGTTCTTTTCTCACCACTGCAAGCTGAGGCATCAGAAACATGTGAAACTGCCACTCGTTAGTCAAAATGAGGCTTAAGAAATATTAACAGGTTATATGTAAGCAACAAGGAGTAATTGGGCTATAAATACATGGAGGAAGCCTGGCTGACAATGTAATAAGTCCATCTGTTTTTTTGCAAAAGCACCAGACCCCCAAATGAATTCATAGCCTTGCATACCATTTTTCTCTTTTTGCAGTTGTTTTCTATACACTGCACATTTACTGGCACAAACAGCAGATCATGGCAATGTGCCCCACAGCTCCCTTTCTATTCCTTGTCCAAGCTCTTTATTTTCTACAACTCTACAGGCCCAGGATTTCATGTGAAATTTGGGATGCTGTGGCTTGGAATTTAAATTCTTGACAATTTCAGGGCTTTTCTTTTCTCTTTATTGTTTGGGCTTTTTGGAAACGCAGATTTCTTTGCATGCAGGCAGCCTGTGCAATGCTCCAGGGGACAGAGCTGCCCCCAAGTCTCCAGGAATTTTGAAGGCTGGAGCTGGGAACCCTAGATAGAGGTGCAATACCTGGCAGGCCATCAGTCCTTCTCTCTATTCACAGGCCCTTTCCTTATTCCTACTACCATAGGGCCCATGTAAATGAATGAAAAATATAAAATGTGCAATCTTTTAAAGTTGCATGATTCTTGAGTGCAGAATTTCCGGTCTCTTTGTCTTCAGTCTACATTTCCATTCCCATTTGCAAACCATATATTCTGCTCCTGAAACATTCTTATGGTCCTTCAGCCTCCAGCTCTGACTCCCTATTTCTCGTTGCTCTTACTGTTTTCTTTTTAACTCTCAAGAAACACTAATGTTGAAGAAAAGCCTCCAGGCCCACAGCCTATTCACACAGAAACAGCTGGCTTGGGTACTGTTTTCAATAGCCACTTATCCACAGCTGCACTGGGTTTTGCCTTTCCAAAACAAAAAACACACTCTCTTTTTATGATCCTGATTTAAAGTTTTTAATAAATAGTAGAAGGGAAAAGCAGCTTAGGCACAGGTGAAACCCTGCTTATGTCAGCAACACAAGGAAAGGCACATAAGATTTTTGTTGTAGGAGATCAGTCGCATTAGGTCCGTTTTTAATTTTTCTTTGGTTCTGCCAAGGAATGTGGGAAATGCCTACCCCAATTCAGGGCAATGGGAGCACAGCAAAGGACTGCCCCACCTTATTGCACTCCGTGGTTGTGAAGAACAGGGTGCCATCCCACAGCAGAATGGAAGCTCCTTCTCCAGGGCTTCTGTCTATGTTTTCCCACTAACGAGAACCATGCTGAAAGAGCCAGTGGAGCAGGACTTGGGTGACAGACGCACAAGAAAGAGTTGTGCTGTTGGCCCAATGCACATGATCCCAGCATTGGCACATAACTGCAGCTGCATGGGAAGAAACCTCGAGGAAGTGGTATCTGTATCACTACTGCTGGAGCCGGTCATATTTACTCCTTCCAAAGAAATGTGGTCTATAAACTGGTGCACTGATCTAACATAAAATATTCTAATTCACTCCCTTTAAAGTAAATCCCTGAAGTCAGAGGGGCTCCCTTCCCAGTAAGTGTGTTTAGGATTTCTTTTTTTTTACATGGATCAGTCCAGCATCAGGAAGCAAACTGTTTGGACTGGGTGGAAAATATTTATTACAAGGGATTGGTTTTCTTGTTAATTCTATGGACAACTGATCCTGAGTTAAATCAAGTCATCATCTTCTTTGGCAGTTAAGAACCCACCTGACTGTGTCAAAAAGACTTTAGAGTTGCAGCACATTGTGAGAACCACACTGTAAGATGTTGCGGTGCACTGAGAGAAGGGACCACCTTTCTAGACAGGAAACAAATCTCATCTTCGTTAAACAGCATTGGCAAGTAGTCTGGATATGCCTCCAGACTATTTAAAACTATTTTTGGTTTTAAGATACCAAAAAGAAATGCATTCTTGGGATTTAAGCAAAGGGACTTGAGGTTTACAGTTAGTTGGCTACTTGCTGAAACCCCTAAAAGTTTGTTTTGTTTGGGGATTCTTGTTTTTGGATTTTTTCCTTTCTGCAAAACTGAACTGCCAGCATGATTAGCATTCCTTGGTGCAGAATCAAAACCCTCTTCTTTTGTTGTTGTTGTTTTATTAGATTTGAACAATTGGATTGAGGAGATACAATAAGAACAAGTAGAGGAGTCTCTCTCTTTCTCTCCCTTGTAATTTGTGCTTTTTCAGCCAAAGGGTACCAAGGGCACAGAAAGCCCTGCTCTGGTTTGGTTTCCTCTAAGCCCGTCTAAAAGTACAACCCTCTTCTTTCCTCCCCCTGCCCTGCTTTTGCATGCCAGCACACTAGCCATCTCCACAGGTAGATGATAGATTTTTCCCCCCAGCCCTTGGGCCAGAAAGGTTTGCCTACCCCCCACCCCCGTAAACAATTTAGATATATAACTGATTTTGGAAAGGTGGTGGGAAGGGAAGGGAAGGCACTAAGGACTCAGTACAATGTAGCCTTTGCTAATTCACTCAAAGAACAAACAGTATAAATGCTAGAAATACAAGATATTTTTCTATTATATTTTTGGAAAAAATGTACTTCTACATTATTTAAATATGGATATGGCAAGTGATATGGACCCCCCTGTATCCGGTTCATCAGGGCTCTGACAAAATTAAGATGAAACACAGCTTTAGAACATAAATGGCCCAATCAATGAGTCCTTGTGTGTGTGTTTGTGTGTGTGTGTGTGTGTGTACATATATGGAACTGTCTCACCTTCAGTAAATGGAGAAACTCCTTTAACAGAGGTGACAGCAGCTCAGCAGTTTTCAAGAAACATGTACATGGAATAACCCCTCCATCAAAATGGATGGAGAGGCCCAGTTGACAGGTGCTCTATCTGCATATGAAAGAACACACACAAAGCACTGAACTGGGAACAAAGCTTCCTTTGAAAAGGGATTCTTACCAAATTAATTTGATGCTTAACAACTTCAGCATGAATTCGAAAAGAAATCCACCACTCTCATGCTAAAGTTACCCTTCTGTCTGTGGAACGCTTATTTATTGTAAAACCAGTACTAAACTCAGAGTGGAGCTTTTTTAAAATTAAAGTGTGCCTTTAATTTTGACGCCACCATTTAAAAGTGAAGGTGCTCAGCTCAAATAGGATAGGATGAAAACAAGGAAGTTTTCCTGCTCAGCAATTAAAGGGGCTGAAAATAACAAAGAGACCTGTTACAGTGTAAAGACTAACCAGCTTTAGAGAAGTGTGAGCTTTCAAAACCAATAAGCCACTTTACCACACTTCTGGTCAACTGATACTGTTCTCCATAGAATTATTCATTCCTGGAAAACTGGAACAACCCAATCTTTCTGGACCTAGGAGGGTCCCCCCCCCGTCCCCCCCCCTGCCTGCCAGGTTCCTGTTATATTTCACAAGACACTGCACACCTTCATAACAGACAAATACATGATGAATCCACAGTGGTCATGACGTAATTGTATCCTATCTCCATTTAAGAGGTGATTGTATTCAGCTTTCCTCGAACACAAATACACGTAGGAGCTGACTATATACCTTCTTACAGTTATTATCACTGAACTCAGTAAGGCTGCAATCCTAAAGACACCTAGTAAGCCCCATTGAGGAACATGGTGCTGATTTCTGGGCAAACTTGCTTTAACTTACTGTCTAGATACTTAACTTCTAGGCTTCAAATAACCCTGAACTTTCCTCCCTTACTTTTCTCACACCTCTGCAGAAAGAGCGGAACACTTTCTCCATTTTATGCATTTCTACTAGCGGTTGATATGTCCCTTTTTTCTAACTTCAGGCTCTGTATCTAAACACTCCCCCCCCCCATCACTGGATAAAATGCCAGCCATTTCACTTAGAATTTAACACCTGGGACCTGAGCATATTTGTATACAAGCATTGGTTTGGGGGGTTCTCTCCCCCCCCCAATTTTACCATGCAACAAAGAAAGCATCTTGGAAATTCTGGGCGCAGCTGTTTGCAATACTTATCCTAAAGGGTTGTATGGCAATATAAAAGTCATTTCTGTTTGCTTGTCTTGCTTTGCTTCATTCCCCCTCCCCCCTGCAAGCCATAGTCCTCTAACACAACCTGTGGAGGACAAATCGTGTGAGTGCAATTCTGCTGCCTGGCAATGGTGAGTTTAATCACCAGCTTGTTCAGGCTGTTTTAAGTCAAAATGTACAGCCCTGTTTTGGAAGGGTGGAAAAGGACCGGCGGGCAATCACTTTGACCGGGGGTTCTTTGTAATCAACATTTGTTTAGTTGTTGCTGCTCTGCTTTTCTCTAACAAGCGAGCTACAACTGACCCTCTGTAGGAGGAATTTATATTTTTTAAGCAACAATATTTAGTGAGGGTTTTTTTAAATTCAAAAACAGTCTTTTAGTTAGAATCCACTTTTAGGCAACAACTCTCCCCCCCTTTTTTTTTACAAAAAAAGAAAAGAAAAAAAACTTATATAGTGGATTTATGGAAACTCATGAGGACCAAAGTGAAATTAAAAAAACAAACAAACCGGAATCTATTAATTTAGTATTCATATAGAATTTTATAAAGTATTTATTACTAAATGTTATTTTAACACATTCCATTTAAACAGCATTCTTATATAGAATCTGTTTATGTTTTTCGTAGTTAAATCAGGTTGGATTCCAAGCCCTGGCGGTTCGATCCAAAA